AAAGAAAAAAGCGAAATAAGGACAGATGTGACACTTCTAAATCGGGGTCCTAAAACTCTCCTTCTCTTCAATCTGAAATTTCGCACCCAAACTAGGGTTTTGCTGTTGGGGCAAATTACTTAATTAACCAACTTTGATCTAAAAAATGGAGGGACCTGTGCTGACCCCCAGGAAATTAGAGTTGCTGCAATTTTCTTTTTCCTTTTCTGGTTTTACCCCTGCAATTTTCTTTTTCCTTTTCTGGTTTTACCCCTGGCCCAATCTGTTTCCTTTTATATTTTTATTTTCTGTTTCTGTTTTTCATTTTTATTTTCTGTTTTCATTTTCTTTTTCTAGTTTTAGTTTCTAACATTCTATTTTCTATTATAATTTTGATTTTCTGTCTCTATTTTTTATTCTTTATTTTTATCTTTTAGTAATTTTATTTCATCTTTCTAATATTCTTTTCGAGGTTCCAATTTTATTTTTCGGTAGCTAATGTTAGTTGTGATTTGTGTCCTCTTCTTATGTTGCTGAGGCCTTGCCTCTCGCTTGTGGCCATCCACGGCAAATCGCCTCTGATCGCCATTGTTAATTTAAAATTAGAGTAAATTGCAATTTTAGTCCTGCATATTTCACTTCCCTAACTTTTTCGTCCTCTTCGAATTGCTTTTTGAATTTTCGTCCTTATGTTTGTAGAAAGGTTATAAAAATGTTTTTTCGCAAGAAAAAGGTCCGTTATGCTTTGCAAAAAAGGTTGCAATTTCGTCCCTTATGTATGCTCGGGGACCTTTTTGTAACATTTTTGCAAACATCAGGGATGAAAACTAAAATCAATTCAAAGAAGATGAAAAAGTTTAGGTAGTAAAACATATAGGACTAAAATTGCAATTTACTCTTAAAACTATGAGTGTAACAGCAGTAGTGGACAAGTTTTTGGAGATGAATGTTGGGTATTGTTAATTAGTCCATAAAAAGCTGTTCTTTGAGAAACCAAAATCTTACTTTTGTATCTTCTTATATTTCAACCATTTATAATTACAATACTGTCATTACTAGCATTTTAAAAAGTTGCACCATTTTACTTTTATCCAAGTGCTTCATTAACTTATTTTCGAAAACAAAATCAAACGTCGTCTAAGCTCTACAAACATCTCCTCAGGTAGAGACGCATTAGTTTACCTGAATAAGCTTTAAGACAAATACCATCCATTTATTGGGCATTACTTTCGTATGTTCAAGTCAGTATACAGATTCAGTCTAAAACATATTCTACTTTTTAATCATCTGGTGCTTGCTTGCACGCTCGTCCCATTTTTATGCTAATAAGTTTAAGTATTGCAGCTGGGATGTGGCGTATGACAGTTTGCTTAGCAACAACAAGCCCTTTCACAAACCTATACCTCTTGCTGTGAGTAATTTTTCTTTATATTGATTGTCGTTATATATTTTTCTATAAAGTATACACTTATAACCATTTAATATAAGTTTTATTTCGATTGGTTAAACTTTTTGCAGGAAATGGTAGATTTCCTTGTAGATATTTGGGAGCAGGAAGGAATGTATGATTGATTAAGAAACTAATTATGGGTGAAAACAAGGTCCTATGGCTGTGAAAAAAAAAAAACTCCTCATTTCCTTTAAAATACTTTTCGCTGTTGTGGAAAAAAAAAAGGTGCTGTAATGCTAGATTTTACGAGCAAGATGTGCATCATTATTGGTGCTTTTTTTGCTTGGGCAAATTCTGACAAGTTGGACGCAGTGTGGTATATTAAAAATTTGAACGCTTGTTTGTATTTTATTTCCGTTTCTCGTTCCGCTCCTTGGCCTGCTGAAGGTGAATTCTGAAAAAATAAATTAAAGTGTGGGGGTGATTGTTTATCAATTCACTCTAAAAAAAATCAATCAAAACTCAAATTTAACTCAATTTTAACTCAATTCTACTATTTCTAATATTATAATATAATTGTTGTAAATATTAATTTGTGGACATTACCTAGATACAGACTTTGTAGGTATGGGCCAGTAGCTCATTAGGTCTTTAGTCATGTATATTGTATTCCCTTGTATATATGGCTCAAGTAAATGAATGAGATGGTGATTTAACGGCATATTTCTTATCTCTTATTCTCTTCTCTATCTTTGTCTATCTTACACATCGATCTTACATTTTGACAATCTGTATTACAACACTTTATCAGCACGAGTACTCTACCATCTAAGCGAACGGCGGCGACATCAAAGACGAACGAGCAATCAAAGTAAAAATTAAGAATTGATGTATGCCCTAGAAAAGAATCGTGTCTTTTCTGTAAAGGTAACATTCAAGATCTATTCAATATCAATAATGATCTAGTAATTCATCAATTTTAGTTATATTTATTTATCTCCTAAAGAATGAATTGATGATTTTTGTATGAGTTATGTGAATAAATAATTTGTTTGTGTAAATCTCACGATATTATGCTGTGCGAAATTGATGATATGGTTCGTTTTTTTAATACTAATTATATCCTTGTGGGAAATTAATTGCATTAACCTGATGATTTGTTTGCGAATTTAGTTTCATGAACTGTGATTATTTGTTTCGCCCAGTAGAAGGTATATTTCTGAATGAAATCGTGTCGCACCCTGCCCCTGTCATTGTTCATTTTTCAATGAATTAAATATATGTTGAATTGATGATGATTGATGAGGCATTAATTATGTTTTGCCTTTTTAGTTTTTACGCATCAAAATTATGTGCCCTATGCAATTGTTGATATATTTTTATTTTTTTTAAAAATGCAATTGTTGATATACACATCAAATTAATTGTGTCATGAGGACAAGTGGCGATAATTAGTTTTGTTCTCAAAATCATAATGTTCCTTTTGCTGTTTTTAAAATAATGGTTGATATCTCTTCAATGTAAGTGTATGACCATTTGTACATTGAATTGAAATTTATTCTTTATTATCACCACTGCGAATGTTAATGGGTAGATGTTAAACATGGTGGAAATATGAGAGGAAGATTATATACAAAAATGGTGGAAATATTGGATATATATTATTGATGCTGCATGTCTCAATTTATGAGCATCTTTATAATATGGTTGGATGAGAAGTTAACATTGTACAATGATGAAGTATTATTTAACGAATATCTATCTATCCAAATGTATAAGATTCAATTAAATACTAGTAGTCCCAGAAGGACTCTAATTTAAACAATGATGGATATAAAGATTAGAACAATGTATCAGTTTGTCTGTAAGATGACAATCTATATTTCATTTATCGATAGCCTGTAAGTTGACAATGAAGTTCTTATACACTCCCTGAAGGATCTTCTATAAGTTAACAATAATGTTTTTATATACTTCCTGAAGGAGCAACACCGATACAATTATCAAAATTAAAGAGTGATTACACCGTGAGCAAGTTTTGATGACTAATTTTGAATTAAGACGCTATCGAGTATTTTATGATTTGTTATGAACAATTTGTATTCCTGAAGTAATACATGAGAATAATGTAATCCAACAAAATCAATACACATGGACACAATATATTAAGAATAGTGATATAAAAGTACTGCATTGGGATTGTATTAGTGCCAGAAGCACATGTACAAAAAAGTGTAATTTGTCATATGAGATATATGATAGAAAATTATCTCTCGTCTATATGACTATATGTTTCATTGATTTAATTGTCTTATATGAGCATCTCTTGTTTGATATGTATCCAATTATTCTTCACATTATTTGTTAAGATTTGAAAGTGGTAACACATGTAAGATATGTCTAGCAGACATTATTCTCGAGATAAGGATTATTTTCGATGGTGAACCAATGAATGGTATGCAACTTGTATAGTTATTTTTTTAATCCTATCATGAATTGCAGAGCAAATATCCTGTTGAATTTTATGCTTATCGATTTGAGTTTCCCTGGAAGATTATATAATTAATAGTATCACTAGTGAATTTGAATACAGACCTAGATTTGGATATCCCTGAAGGATTGGTCCTGT